TAATGTAATTGAATTCTTTTATTGTTCGTGTTGCCACGTCCACAATTATTATTACTTAATACACTCATTTTTTATGTTGTCAAGAATTTAAACTTTACTTTATTATTATAATCGTAAAGCATAATTAACTTATAGTAAACAATACCTTTATAATATTTTATGTCCCTTCTAAATATTAAATAACTTTTGTTACTTTGTTATTTTTAATATTTTTTAACAGCCAAATATAATTACTTTGTCACTAAATATATTCACTAAGATTAATAATAACGTAACTATTTTTAATAGAATATTATTTAAAATATTTAAATTTATTATATTTCATGTTATCAAATTATGTAAGGCATTAAAATATATTAAATTTAATTGAAGTATAAAACTATTTTAATTTAAAAATTTACTTGAAATATTCTTTAAAATGAAAAAAATTTTTAAAAAAATTGAATTTTATTCTTTATCTTGAAGAAATTTATTATAAAAATATAAATCTCATTTAGTTACGTTTAAGTTTATGTGGAATTTTCCTTTATAATTTATCAAATAAATAACGAAAATAGTTGAAAAATTTATATCTCTGTATTTTTTTCTATTTTTTTATATCGTAGTAATTCCTAAATTAGATATCACACTCTAACATACTTTAAAGGTCCTAAATAATTTTTCCTTATAATTCATTAAATTTAGAGAATACAACATGGTTTGGAATGTGGAATGCTTACTATCGCTGATTAATTTCTAACATTCCAGTCATTTAATATTGTCAAGAGTAAAGTCCAAGCAGATGACCAGGTGACAACAAAGACAAATTACTTGTACAATGCACGATGTGTATCTAAACAGAAGGAAATGCAATTGAAATTCTGAAAAAGGAATAATTGTCTCTGTTTTGTTTAGACGTTTAATTATGGAATTCTCAGTTTTAATTCGAAATTTCTTTTATAATGAAAATAAAACTAAATTATTATTTAAATTACCTTCTCTAAAATAAGGTATTTTAAGCAGTAATTTACGCGAAAAGTTTAAAATATTGTTATGTAAACTACATAAAATATAAAGTATTTTATAACATATATAAAGTTAAGTAAACTAATTAATTATTAAAGTTTAAAGATAAAAGAAAATTTGTTTAAATAATTTATTATATTTTTAGTAAAAGAGTATACAATCTTCTTCTAAATATATTAAGTTGACATGACAATTTATGGAAATCAAGATTAATTTTAAACATTGTCTAAACCTAAAGTAAATGTGTTAATCTTGAATTACTGTTGTAAAAATTAAAGAAATAGTTTAAAATTTTAATATTCCAACGCTTCGGAAAGAATTTCTTTTATGAATATAGTGATATTAAATATAATACGAATGCTATTTTAATACAAAAATTAATACTTTTATCAAAAATGATACGTTTATATTAAAAATTCGATATGAAATGGCATTATTATCAATATTTAAAATAGCGTAAAGTTCTATAAAAATAAATGCACAGTATTAAATTCATTAGAAAATCTATAACATCGATTAAAAAGTTCTCTTCTTGTTTGTGAAGTGAGATGAAAACCTATAGTAAATTTACTTCTTTAGTCAGTAATTCAAATGGATAAAATTAAAAACCGATAAATTGGCTCTGATCCAGTTGCAGTTTCTGAATAGAGGTTAAGAGGTTTTCTAGGAAATCTGCAAATATTGCACATTAAAAAAAGGTAAAGCTTTAGAGAATTGTTTTGTGTTGAATATAGAACAAAAGATAATATCGATCATCAACAGCAGCATTCTTAAAACACTGAAAGCACAATAGCTAATTTTTCTCTTACCAAAAAACAGAAGTGTGTATTCTAACAGCTAAAAACTTCTGATTCTTGCAGCCAGGAAAGAATAAAATGCTACGAAACAATGGCCATATTGTCTATTTAATTAAATTTTACATAAAAGACATTCAGAATTTTCTTATAACTCATTATCGTCATTTTATTCCAAACACCCGATTAAAATATATGTAATATAATGTAAAAAAAAAACAAATCAATCAAGAATCGGTAGATTCTTTTGATATCAAAAATAAACATTTTTTTTTAGAAAATATTTTAAAGCAATCAACATTATTATCTTTCGTTCTATATCTTCGTTTTCATCTGCAAAGAACAAAGTGGCTGAATGTTTAATTTGTATAAAGATGGCAGCGTAATTTACTACATACAAAAGGAGAAGTTGATCTTTGGAATTCCAATTAATATGAACATCACAGGAAAACTAGATTTATTCGAGAAGAATGCGAAGGAGGCAGAAGCATGTTTTATTCGGTGATCAATACAATAACNATAACGAAAATAGTTGAAAAATTTATATCTCTGTATTTTTTTCTATTTTTTTATATCGTAGTAATTCCTAAATTAGATATCACACTCTAACATACTTTAAAGGTCCTAAATAATTTTTCCTTATAATTCATTAAATTTAGAGAATACAACATGGTTTGGAATGTGGAATGCTTACTATCGCTGATTAATTTCTAACATTCCAGTCATTTAATATTGTCAAGAGTAAAGTCCAAGCAGATGACCAGGTGACAACAAAGACAAATTACTTGTACAATGCACGATGTGTATCTAAACAGAAGGAAATGCAATTGAAATTCTGAAAAAGGAATAATTGTCTCTGTTTTGTTTAGACGTTTAATTATGGAATTCTCAGTTTTAATTCGAAATTTCTTTTATAATGAAAATAAAACTAAATTATTATTTAAATTACCTTCTCTAAAATAAGGTATTTTAAGCAGTAATTTACGCGAAAAGTTTTAAAATATTGTTATGTAAACTACATAAAATATAAAGTATTTTATAACATATATAAAGTTAAGTAAACTAATTAATTATTAAAGTTTAAAGATAAAAGAAAATTTGTTTAAATAATTTATTATATTTTTAGTAAAAGAGTATACAATCTTCTTCTAAATATATTAAGTTGACATGACAATTTATGGAAATCAAGATTAATTTTAAACATTGTCTAAACCTAAAGTAAATGTGTTAATCTTGAATTACTGTTGTAAAAATTAAAGAAATAGTTTAAAATTTTAATATTCCAACGCTTCGGAAAGAATTTCTTTTATGAATATAGTGATATTAAATATAATACGAATGCTATTTTAATACAAAAATTAATACTTTTATCAAAAATGATACGTTTATATTAAAAATTCGATATGAAATGGCATTATTATCAATATTTAAAATAGCGTAAAGTTCTATAAAAATAAATGCACAGTATTAAATTCATTAGAAAATCTATAACATCGATTAAAAAGTTCTCTTCTTGTTTGTGAAGTGAGATGAAAACCTATAGTAAATTTACTTCTTTAGTCAGTAATTCAAATGGATAAAATTAAAAACCGATAAATTGGCTCTGATCCAGTTGCAGTTTCTGAATAGAGGTTAAGAGGTTTTCTAGGAAATCTGCAAATATTGCACATTAAAAAAAGGTAAAGCTTTAGAGAATTGTTTTGTGTTGAATATAGAACAAAAGATAATATCGATCATCAACAGCAGCATTCTTAAAACACTGAAAGCACAATAGCTAATTTTTCTCTTACCAAAAAACAGAAGTGTGTATTCTAACAGCTAAAAACTTCTGATTCTTGCAGCCAGGAAAGAATAAAATGCTACGAAACAATGGCCATATTGTCTATTTAATTAAATTTTACATAAAAGACATTCAGAATTTTCTTATAACTCATTATCGTCATTTTATTCCAAACACCCGATTAAAATATATGTAATATAATGTAAAAAAAAAACAAATCAATCAAGAATCGGTAGATTCTTTTGATATCAAAAATAAACATTTTTTTTTAGAAAATATTTTAAAGCAATCAACATTATTATCTTTCGTTCTATATCTTCGTTTTCATCTGCAAAGAACAAAGTGGCTGAATGTTTAATTTGTATAAAGATGGCAGCGTAATTTACTACATACAAAAGGAGAAGTTGATCTTTGGAATTCCAATTAATATGAACATCACAGGAAAACTAGATTTATTCGAGAAGAATGCGAAGGAGGCAGAAGCATGTTTTATTCGGTGATCAATACAATAACCAATTATTCCTTTAAGGAAAAAAAAATTAATTCATAAGTGTAATTAACTTATTTATTCCGTTTGGTATTTTAATTAGTATATATATATATAATATTTCGCGTTTACTTAATTAAAAATTTAGCTTATTATTATAATATTTATCATAATTATTCATCATTAATTGTTTATATTTATTATCTGATAGTGTTAAATGTAATTTGATACATAAATTGTTAGTAAAATTTCGCATGATATATTTATTATAAATATCCAATTGTATTTAACACATTATCCAATATTAAACATATAATTTAAAGAGATTTCCGGGCAAACTCCTTATATATATATTATAATGAAGTGAAATATCATGTACGGCTTAATTTAATTGCTGGAGTTTAATCACATTTAAATTGAGATGCCAAATAGTTGTCTTTATTTCTTAATTTTGTTTTAAATTAAACTGCATGTTTGATTATAAATTTTTTTCTTTATTTGTATATCAAAACTATTTTATTTAAATTTATTTCTTAGAGATTAATTAAAATTAATATTAATAATTTCTTCTAGAATGACTTTGTTAAAATCGTTTAATTGCTTTTAAAAGGACAGGAGAATAATCTCGCATGTCAACAATGTCGTTAAAACTATATATTTTTTTACATGCAACGTTATTTTTACGCAAAAGTCTTTTTCTTTTTTATATTATCTTTATTAAGTTAATAAACTGAGTAGAATTAAGCAATATAAGGCTTTATAAGCGATATAAGTTATATATATGTGTGTGTGTATTGGGCATATAAAATATATAAATAAAACAACAGACTTGTATTTACAATAAAAAATTCCAAAGAGAAAAAACAATATATTTTTTATTTTCTTTTCAAGTTTCTTTCAATCGTTTTTTAACGATGTATATTATTTATTCCAGTTGTTCCCTCGGAACCATTTTTAGAATTGGAAGGAAGAGCGTTAAGAAACGGATCAACAGTGGGACCATACACAGAAGGATCGACATTCGCTCTCGAATGTAAATCCTCGGGTGGAAGGCCACCACCTCAGGTAACGTGGTGGAACGGAACTAAAACTCTACCTATCAAAGTAACAGAAATTCCTGAAAAACACGGGACTAGCACTGTCATCTCGTTAGCTCGTTTTGTGCTCTCCCGATGGGACTTAGGTGCAAGATTAGAGTGTCATGTTGAGAGTAACGCTACCACTAGACCTTTTATTAAAGGGGTCAAGTTAGACATACACGGTAAGTCATTTTGTTTCTTTCTGTAATCTTTCCCTCGTGTATAGCTTACACATTTATTTTACTAAGCTTCCTAACAATTAGTAAAAATTGACATTATACTTCGTTACTTAATAAGAAAAAAAAATTATACTTATAAAATCGATTAAAATGGTTTTAAAATATTACTTAATTTAATTCAATACGCCCATTTATTTTTTGATTGTAATCAATATTTATTAGGAATTAAATCAATAATAATTATGAAAATTAGTTTAAATAAATTTAATAGATTTTTATAAAATGTTTATTTCTTTCAAAAATAAAAGACTGATTTAAATTTTTCTTCTGGATATCAAATATTCAATTAATTACGTTGAGTGAGATATTATTATTCTAATTGAATTAATCAGGCGTATGAAAAATTTAATAGTCTTAAGCATTCTTTACTGCTACGAAATATTTAACTCGAAACATGAATTTGTTTTTAGAAACCTTGCACGAAATGTGGTTAAAAGATAATTGAGATCGACTATAATTTAGGTTTAATTTACTCCATCAACTGTAAATCTTAACGTAATATTTAGTAGCTTAGGATATTCTTACGTGAAATGACTGCAACATTTTCATTTTTTTTTCCACTACCATTTTAATTACAATAATGAAATTGCTGCTATTTAGGACATATTTTTAGCCTGAAGAAGATGTAAATCATTTAAATTTATGTTTGGAAATATAAAATATATATATTTATAATTCTGAAGGAGTGTTTTAAAGAACATTATTTTGTGTTATCGATAAATTAATAGCTATTTTGTGAAGTTTATAATTTAAGAATTTATAATTAACATTCTTCTTGTTGTTTGGATGTATTAAATTTATAATCTTGGAAAAATAGGGCTCGGATTTAAGGTTATAATTAAGTGTGTGTCGAGTTACTTAACAAAGTGTTAATTCTTTCGAAAATCTTCACGCACTATTTATAAAAGAAGCTATTAGTTAATCCCTGGTTACTTGTAACCTTCAAAAATCTTTTCATCCTCGAATACTCTAAGGTATCCACGCAATTAGAAGTTCGAACAAAACATAGCACATTTTCCTTGACGAGTACTCATTTATTCTTTACAGTACGTCCAGCCGCAATGAATGTCAGAGGACCACTTACACCTGTAGTGGCAGGTGAGATGGTCTCACTCACATGTACTGTAGAAGGTGCGAGACCTGCCGCAAACATCACATGGTACAATAGATCAGAGGTGATTAAGCCCCAGCCGACTATCACTAAGGACTTGATGAGTGATGGAACCTATAGGACAACAAGCACCCTGGTGTTTGTGGCGTCCAGACACGATCACCATGGGGAATATTTTTGTAAAGGAACTAATGAGGTGTTAGCGAAGAGACTCGAAGCTCCTCTACTTCAAGCAACAACTCTGGAAGTTCTCTGTAAGTATATGATAAAATCGGGAGTAATCCGTAATTGTATAATTAAAGTAATGTACATGACAGTAATTAACGAGATGCAGCAGTAAAAGAATAAAATCCGTACCTGACTTTAATTATACTTCACTAATTGTCTGCTGTTTACAAGAATTAATAAAACAACATTCCCAACATCACGCATTTTGTAAATTTTATTATAATTCTTAAATTTAATTATTTTAAAACGACTTTTGTCGGTTGACTTTAGTCATTTTTAATTCATAAAAATTATTTTATTTCCCGCGTAAATATGTTTATTTTAAAATTAACAAATCTTGGAAAGTATTTTAAAGTTCGAAATTACAAAAATTCCTTTTCTTCATCTTCAATTAATAAACAATTTGAAGATAAAAATTAACAAAAAAAAACTAACTTTTTAAAGTCAAGTTTAACATATTTTAAAAGTAGAATTACTAGAAAATGATTTATTATTTTTGAAACTTTACTTCATTCTAGAAAGTAAACTTTATCTAGAAAATTTTATAGAGTTATATTTATAAAAATAAAAATTTATCTTAATAAATTCGTAGCATATATATATATATATATTTATAAATGGAGAGATATATTGAATAGAATATATTTTTTTCTATTATTTACATATTGTTCTATCTTATATAAAATATCGTATATACCTTTCAACGAAAATTGCAAAAAGATTTTTATATAATAAATATGGATAACCAAAAAAACTTTTTTTTTATTTACAAAAAGTCGATTTATTTATCGATATAAACGAAATTCACTTTTTTAGAATAATGTATTATTTATTTATACGTACTTCTATTTATATATTTCTATTTGAACTTTTATTTTTAAACAAATTTTCAAAATACATTTTTAATAATAATATTTTTATCAATTTAAAGAATAGAATTTATACATTCAATTTGTTCGTTCGTTTGTCCGAACGATAAAAAAAATATATATATATATAATAAAATAAGTTGGAATTTTTGGGGTTGTTTCCGAGCATTTTAATCAAACAATTTCGTGTTAAATTAATAATGATTAATTGTGTTTAAATTTATTATTTAATGATAATTTAAAATCGTTTTAAATTAATTAACGAGTAATTTTGAAGAGAAATTTCTTGTTATTCTAATTATGTAATATTACATTTTAATATTTTACGCTTAGTAATATAGAAAAATGGAAGTTTATTTACATTTTAAAACAAGAGCAGATTTGTTGAAAATTCAAAATTGTGACCAGCATAAAAAAAAGACATAAAATAGTTTTTATGGTTCAGAATTTTTCAGAAATCGCTTCTATTGAGAAATCTAAAAATTTCAATATATCTTACAAACATTCTAGTAGATAATACACCTATGCCAAATGGTATTAAGATATTTATTATTTTCTAGAATAAGAAATTCTACAACAGGTTGTATATAGTAAGTAGTCTACTATAAATCTCTGTACGTACTGTAGGTCTGCTATTTGCAATGTATCTTGACAGAATTACGTCAACGTTTATCTGCTGTCGTCATAAATCCCTTCTCCAACTTTATTTGTTAAAGCCCTTGTATTCTTTATTTATTACAGCATTCCATTATAAAAATTTCTAACTTCTGTTTATGTTTATTTTGTGACTTATTGTACGAATTAAATCATAATTTTGATGTATCTTCTTAAGTAAGAGGATTCTTTATACTTGCTCAAAACTTGTTAATTTTATTATCGAATATGAAATTAAATTTTACTGTTTAAACTTTATTTATATACCTTTTGTTTAGCATATAGAACTTATATTGATTAAAATTCGGTTATTATTGATCTTTCACAAAATTAATAAGATTAATATACTGATATAATTAATGTTAATAATTTGCTGTTACTGTTTAAGTTGGTGTTTATGCACTGCTACTATAAACACTAATAACATTTCTGATTAGTATACCTCAGCTAATTATCATAAGACTGTTACCCTGATTGAATTAACTTAGATTTAGTTATTATCATTTTGATCTATAATAATAATAATAATGATAATGATGATAATGATGCATTAGTGAAAGAATAAATGTTGATTAATGTTAGAATAACAATTTAATTTCTTCATTTTATTTTTGAATTCTCAGTTATTTGAACTAAAAGGTCTTTTTAAAGAGGCAATAAATATATCCAATTTCGGTTTTATGGAGTAGTTTAGTGGTTATTCTTTCCAACTGGACAATCCTAAATATCATAAAAGTTTAGTAGCCATAACCGTACAATGTTGTATACAGTTGATAGTGGGTCCACTCTATGTCAAATTCTATATATCAGTTATGGCCGGTAGTAGCTTCTTTCAAACTAATTTAACGTTTTAAGTTCTCTTTATAAAACTTTTAATTTTCTCGGTAAGCATATTTAATTTACCTTCTATTGTTACTTAATTTATTTTCGATTTTTTATTTTTATTTTTACATAAAGATATTAAATTTATATTGCAAATTAGTCGAATCGTAGTAAAAATTTATTTTTAAGTAATTATTCTACTTTATGATATGTCTATGTTAATAAAGAAAAACATTCAATAACATATATATATATATTTTTTTTTTAGAACTTCAACTAGAATTATGAATTATTCAAACGAAGGTTTATATTTGGACCAGAAATAAGTAGATATTAAGTCTAGAAAAGAATTTTATCTGGCCAAAAAACGCAACGAACAGAGCAACAACTCACAAAAACCATAATATTGAACATTATATTGGATATATGATGTCTTTCAGCTTCAATTAAGATCAGAAGCGAGTGTAATTTTTCATTTTGTCTTAATTTTTTTAAGATTCGAACGTTGAATACTTGTTTAGAATTTGATTATAATGCATTTAATTTAAAAATTACGTCTGCGTATAAGATGTGGAAAATAAGAATTGGTCTTGTTATTGTCATTAAAATGTCACATTTGAAACTAAAAAATTAGATTAAAAATTTCGTTTTTAAGTATAAATTATTTTACAAACTTTAAACGAAATCATAATAAATTTCTAAAAAAAGTACATATGTGTCGTAAGTGTTTATAATTAGATTTTTCTATGTTTATGTTTAAAATAAATGCAAAAACTTTGAACTTGTAGACCTTTTAATTATATTTTTACTTTTATTATTACGTAATTTTTCCCTCTAAAAAAATAAAGGAATAATATTACAAAATACAGTTTTACTTTCTAAAATAAAATGCAATTATAACACACTTTCGTGTGAAAAATTTTCGATTTAAAGAATGGCGAACTTATAATTTATGCAAATGTCAATTTAATTATTACAAAATATTCTCTATTTTAATCATAAAATACATATTAACGAATTTTTGTTTGACTCTTCGACCAAGCTTTATTGACAAGTGAGGAGGATAAAAACCCGTGAAGGGGATATTCACCAAGGAGATTATCTTTCATTTTGAAAGCTTGACAAATCACATTTTCATTTTGATAAGAAGACAATAAACCCCTTTAAAAGTGCTTCCTGTATTCTATGTAATATTTATGTTGGAAGTGAAATAATGCCTGTATATTTTAAGTGACTGACTAATCATACTTGAGGGATTGCATGTTCGCGTGTTAGAAAAGTTACTTCCAACACAAAAATGAATATACCACGGATATTTTACATAAGAATTCTTAAAATCATTTCCTCAAAATTTATTAAATTTTTAATCAGTACAATTTGGTAAAATATAATTTAAAAAAAAAATANACTTGAGGGATTGCATGTTCGCGTGTTAGAAAAGTTACTTCCAACACAAAAATGAATATACCACGGATATTTTACATAAGAATTCTTAAAATCATTTCCTCAAAATTTATTAAATTTTTAATCAGTACAATTTGGTAAAATATAATTTAAAAAAAAAATATGTAAATCAGAAAGTTCTTATTTCTTTCACGAAGATGCATAAATAATATTTTGATATCGATCGCGATTGTTTAAAAAAGGGGGCAGGAGTTAGAAGGAGGAAGAAAAAAATCCTTCAGTTATATTCGTTCTCGATAAATACAACTCTTCTACTAAGAGCAAAAACCATCTGGTGATTTATGACAAGGTTTATCAGCATTCCAGCCATTGTCTTATTCCGTTTGACAATTCGATTCAACCATAAAAAAGTACACACAATTGAATAAAAGTTGAAATCAATATACGTATATCATTTTGTTTTATTTACACTTAAATTGAATTTTATTTATTTGAAAAATATTGTGTTAAGTATTTCAATATTTTTCTGAATTTTTAGTCGGAAGATAAAAATCTTTCAATATAATACAATTTTAACTTTAACAATAACTTATTGTATGACTAGAATTAATATAAATATTAGTGTAAATTAAATTACGTTTAGTTTAATTACTATTTGTTTTTTATCTTTAAAAATTTAATTTTTAAAACTGCAATTTAAATATTTATATATTTTTTTAAAATTTGTTTTTAATTTTTATCGTTTTACATCTCTTAAAACTGAATATTATTATTCTAAACACGATTTTTACAGGATATTGTACAACTATTTTTAGAATGTTGTCAAATTATACGCTAGAAATTCTGCTACAAAAATGACATAAATGTCTACTTTAAATGTTTAACTCGGCACGAACAAAGTAGTTTTTTGAAAAATTTAACATGCATTTTTAAAGATAATGTGCTTACCTAACATTATGTACATAATAAGTTTAAGTTTTAATACAGTTTTATTCAAACAATCATATGTTATATATCTAAAGCAATGAGAAGAGATTATTAGTATTCAGTTCAACCTTGCCACCTGAAGACAAAATTTTCCAGAAACTCCATTGCTTCCACTATCGAAGAATTCTAAGTGACCATGATTGAACATTTTACATTCTTGGTATAGAAAGACTAAAATTTCAACTGACTATTCACCATCCAAAACTCAATCTTTTCGCAAATAACTACTAGCACAAAGTATATGTGACTTTATAGTGACCGTGACGTGGCAAGTAAGTCTGTCTGACTTCTTTCTTTTTTTTCTTTTTTTTTTTTTTTTGTTCCCTCCTCTCTCAGATCCACCTGCAGCCTTGGTGTCTCCTGGGGGTGTGGTTACAGTCCAAGAAGACGACACGACAAACATCACATGCGACTACGATGCTAATCCCAAGGACGTGACAGAAATTGTTTGGTATAAGGATGGAAACATTCTGAGAAGAAATACGGAACATCGTCCAAGTACCGTGTTGACAATTTACAATGTTTCTCGTCACGAAACTGGTACTTATAGCTGTCATGTAAGAAACGCCTTTGGACGAGGAAATTCGACAAATGCTTTGATGTTGGATGTTCTTTGTAAGCTTTCCTTTTGACAACTTTTTCTCTTTATTTTATTTCTACTTTAAATAATTAGTTAACTGAGATTTTAGAAAGTTACAAAATAAACTTTCGAAAATCTGTTAAAAAAATATGTTTAATAAATTTTAACTATAAATTAAATCATTACTTTTTAATGAATACAATTACAGTTTTATATGTTAAATAATTAATTAAAAATTGTTTTAAAACAGATCCACAAATTATTGATATAAAGTTATCGTCAAAAGTTGTATCCGAAGCTGAAAAAACAAGAGTTGTGGTGGAATGCATTGCGCTGGATGGCAACCCTCGAGAGTTTACTTCTGTTAAGTGGTATCAAAATAGCAAATTAATCAATGAAACATCTAAGCCCATATTCTTCTTAGATGACATAGTCAGAGAGAACACTGGCTTATATCATTGCGAAGGACTGAATTCTGTGGGATGGAGCGATCCTTCTCCTACTAAAGAATTGGTTGTCCAATGTAAGTCTTTCTTCCAACTTTTTCAAATTTGTCATTGGATTTTCCACGTTTCTTTCCAATCCTCGAGAGCCTTTTAAAGTGTTTTTCAAAACAAATTTTTTATGAGAAAATAAAAAATTGAGTAGCTCTTGTAAATTATTAAATTTATTTTAGCTTTCAAAACTCGAATTAATTATAAAAAATCTTTTTATATAACAATTTTTAATTAACATACCCGTTTTTTCTTAATTAAAAATATTTAGATTCTGATATATATTAATTAAAAACATGAAATGTTTATTTAAAAAAAAATACTAATGCTTTTGAGTTTAATTTAAAGAACATGTATATAAATCTTATATTCCAAACTTTAAAAAAACTTTTTTATTCGAAAATAAAATTTATTTACTAAGTTTAAAGATAAAAAAATACTTTAAATGTTGAAAAAAACTAACTTTAAAAATTGTAGAGAAAGAGAAAATAAGCTGAAATAATATTGAAGAAAATTTTGTCCTAGATCCTCCGGGTGTTGCAGTTATCAATCAAGTGGAAGAACTGGCAGTGAAGGGGACTCCTATAACCTTAGAGTGCAGAGTGGAAGATTTTGGTTACCCCACAGCAACCATATATCGTTGGGGAAAAGATGGAAAATTGCTGAATGCATCGAGCCACGTACTCGTCACAGAACCAATTCGTGTTGTAACTCAAGGAATCTATTCTTGTGCTGCAGTAAACGATGTAGGCACGGGACTATCCACTACGTTCCCTCTGAAGGCCGTAGGTTTGTGTACACATTTCGCCTGTAATAGGCGAAATGCTTTTAATTCTTTTACTTCATTAATACATTAACATCAAAGGAAAATTTCTAATTATTTAATGGATACATCTTTAATCAACATTGCAGTCAATAATAAATCGATATTACTCCTGTTTTGATTATATAATTCTTAATTAATCTTATATATTTATATTTTTAATTAGTAAAATATAATTCTTTATAGTCCTTTTTCTAATGATTTCACTTGTTAGTAGCCTGTTGCAATTATGTTCCAGATATAAATACTGAGAAATTAAAGTTGGAATGCAATGAAAATAATGTATATTTACAGAAAAAATAATCAAAATTGAAAATTTTCCTGTTTTTAAATTGCAGCATGAATAAAATATGAAACAATTTTTATAGCTTTTATATATAAATTTCTTTCCTACTTCTGTTCTTGAAATAATATCATATCTATATGAAAATCAGATATATATAATCTTTTTCTTCGAATAATTTTATTTTGCATTAAAAAGTCTGCATGATTAATTCTAGGAGGTATTAGAAAAGCGAAGAATAAGAATTGTTTTCTGCAAAGATGAATTTTACTGTTATCTTTGCTTATAAAACCGTATAATGTTTACAAAAATGCATTGGCCACATTCAGTCTGATTTTTTTTTTTTGAATGAAAATTATATATCGATTTTTTTAATAGTAAATATACTATTTTTAGCAATTTTATTAAAGTATATTTATTATGTTTTACAAAAGAAATATTCAAAGAAGAAATCGTTTAGAGAGGAGAAAAAAAATGATAATAATGATAATAAAATTTCAATTTTTCAATTCTAGAAGGCTATAGAAACGTTAATAGTAGAAAAAAAAGGCATTTTTAAAAAGCGATAAGGATCTTTTAGATAGAAAATTTTCAAGTTGTTTCGAACAAGACAACTTAAAAATAACCAGAATAAAAAAATATATCTCAAAGGAATTGTTACAATGAATATTTTCCTTTTTTTGCATGAACTGAAAAAAACATTTCGATTGAAAAGAATTTATTTAAAAGATTCTGATAGAAAATTTCAAAATAAATCGTGTCTTTAACCTTTTGTAGAAAGAATAGATTGAAAATATATTTATACGAAGACCTCCTGTAAATTCGAAGAAAATCTAATCAACCTTGACCATTTTTATGTGACTCATACTGTGCAGTTTTCATTATTGTGTAATTCCTTTCTGGTACAGGCACGCTCTGGACATCAACGTCACTGATTGACAGGAAAACAGTTAATAAAATGCTGCTCTTATTTTTATTCTTCTAGTAATAACAATTAAGTTACAGCAGTGGAGAAGTAGCTAACGAATATTTGTTAGTAACAGGAAACATATCGTTAGCTTGGCATTCTCTCTCTTCCTATCTCTAGAGAATATTCATCTCCGTTGTGTTTTAGTTAGTTCTTTCTTTCTGAATATTCTTCTAACAATCAATTTATGAGAGTGCTTTCAACGTTTCCGTCACGATAAATTGAAACATAATTTCTTTTGTAGTTACCACAAGAGCCAACTACATTTTACAGTGAGATCTTTCTAATATTATTATATATTTCTAGGGCATTCAGGAAATTAAAATTCTTGCAATATACATATAGTGTTTTGTTATCGTTTTATATATTAAGTGACACTATGTAAATTACTTTCAGTGTTTAGCAAAAGTAAAAAAAATCTATATAAATAATATAATTTTAGGAAAATTTTTGACTATAATGAAATTTTAGTTCATTTTTATAACTATAATAAAATTAAAATAATAGATTTAAAGATGATTTTATCATATTTTAATATTATATTTTATTACTTGAGTGAAGGTAAATTGAATTTTATCAAATGCATTTCGAATTTATTCTGTTTGTAATTCAATTTTGTTAACGTATTTCCTCCTCAAAACCGAAAATTATAAGACTGTCATCGAATTTTCTAAATGTGAAAAACATCGTTTATAATTTTTATAAATTGTTTTCAAGAATATCGATGATTTTAACAAGGGTGGAAGCGTTTGAATTATTCTAACTGTCCTTTTTTTTTTCTTTCAAGCATAAGTAACCTGAAATCAATAGTTTAAAATAATTACATATACTTTTCGAGATAAAAAGTTTAAAAGTTTTTATTAACTTACCTGGCAGGTCAATAGTTTTTTTTTTTTCAGTGAGAAAAACGAAAATGTCTTTCTTTACCGTTAAGATGAGACGTTTTAATTGAATCATTTTCTTTACAGCACCACCTGCGTTCGTTCAAAAACTGCCAGATACCGGAGGGGTACCCAGAAATGCCACTACTGTAACCCTTGCCTGCCGGGTGGAGTGTCAACCAATTTGCCAAATAGAATGGCTGAGGAATAACGAAAGTGTCAAATCGTCAAAGTTTTTCCATGAAAAATTAATCAAACACCCAGAGGATCCGAAGAAAAATATCTTTACTTCCATCACCAGTGTTTTGACGTGGAATATGAGCCATCTTCCGGCCAGCAGTTTTGATTACAACAGTTTTACTTGTAGAAGTACCTCGAATATAGCGGGACCACCGGTCAGCAGTACTTTGCTGTTCAGGGTAGAATGTAAGGAGGTATTCTTGCTTTTGTCGTCAATGATAAACGTTATTTTTAAAATGTATATAGAGTAGAAAATTTTTGATATTTTATATTTAAAATTAATGAGATTAGAAGATATTTAAGCAAAAATAAATCCGAATATAAAGAAAAAGAACAGTTTATTATACAAGAGATTAAAATTCTTTCCACTTTATTACATTTTGCTTTTGCATCTGCACTAATTACCAAGATTAAAATTCTTATGCAGTATATGTAATAATTTTTTAAAAATTAATTACATGTTGAATTAAAAATCTTTTTATTTAAATAACAATACTAATTTATAAAAAATTAAATAAATAATAAGAGAATCTTATAAATTCTCATATTTTTTCGAAAATATTTAAATTATTCCGTATTTTTTTTACATAAAATTTAAATTATATTACAAATTTAAAAACAAATGTATACAATTTAAAAATAGAAAGTTCAATAATAATCCAAAAAGAAGTATGATTGTAATGTCTAACAGTAATCCGCATTTATCATCTCGAGACTATCCAAACACGCTTTGTCTGCTTCTAAAGCATTTCACATCACTGAATGTAACAACTGCATATAGTGAATATAACTGTTTCTTGCAATCCATCATGTATAAGATTTCATCTAAACAACATTATTTTGGATACGATCAAAATGGAAACAGGCATGTCATCGACTTATCTTGCTAAGGAAAATATTCTGAGTGTCTTTTATATAAAACTGACAGTAGCAGTCCTCCATCATGAGTCTGTCAAGACAATACCCTACAAAGACAATTCTGCTTCTGCATAGTCCGCAGCAACACAATTGATTATGCTGCGAGTTATCGAAAACAGCTTTTCTCAGAAAATTCCAATGTTTACTTATTTCTATTCTATTTTATTCCTTTCCAATATACATTTTTGGCTTTTGACTAATTCGGCCAATAAATAAAATACTAAAGTAATTAATGTAAATAATTTTACGTTCGAAAAGAATGTCAAATAATTTATTTACAAAGCATTGAAAATTTATTATAACAACTTATAAAAATTTATTTTTATCCTCGCTTATAGTACAAATAACGGATATCTCATCCCTCTTCACAATAGCATAATCATTGTAGTATATATTAGTTCTCTAAACGATCTTTATCGTCGCATTAAATATTACAGATACGATAATATATAAATATATTGAATCTAATTTATATAGACTAATATATAGCACATAATTTGAACTCCTCTAAGTTTAACTGTTAATGTAACCTAGGCTTAATATTATGATTAAACATTACAGAAGTACTGAATTAACCTAAATTATAATGTACGATTTACTATATAGTACACATCAAATTTCATTATTGCAATTTGCAATTTAATTTTGTAACGAAAATTATCTTCGTAGGAAGTACCGTTAAAGGTAACTACAGTAACAATTAATAACACAATACGGAATAATTAGGCTATTTATTGACGAAAATAGTGGGTCTACAAAGCGTCATATAATGATATTTTATTAATAAAAGTGTTTACCCTGATAAAATATTCATAAGCGTTAATTCAGTTATTAAAATTACTCTCACTTCATATAAGCGTTAATAAAATATTTAATTAAAATTAATAACCTCTAAAATGTTCACATAGCTAAGTATTTAGTGTTTTATTGTAAGTTTGTAAGTTTTAAGCTTATTATATGAAGCAACAACGTAAAATTAATAAAGATTTTTCTTTATTTCCATAATTTTTAGCTTTAAAAATCGAGCAAAGTAAAAGAAACATAACGATAAATTTTCTTTTTTTTCTCTCCACGTTTTTTAAAAATTATGTTACAGATAAAAGAAATGTTTATTTACCAATCGATTGATTAGTATTGAAAGGAGCGATGACTCCCGCTTCTTTTACTGTTATAAAAATAATTTAATCCCCAGAAAAAGGAACATATTGCCTATTTTAAAAAAGTATGAGAAAAATTTAATGAAAGTTTTTCAAGATATAAGCTTAAGATATTCAGCTGGCAACGTCAACAAAATCCCAGTATTAGTAACCCATCTTTGCCTACTCTGCAACCTCATTTAATGTAAAAATATGCCGAGAACAGACTATAATCGCCACTAGACAGCACGCATACGTCATGTCAAAGGGTTCTCGATAAGCGCTACGTGTGCATACAGAAGCGTAGTTATAAACACCACGGCAAACCGTGTTTGTCTTACAGTATTAACTCCGCAATTTACATGTAAATATTCACTGTAACAGCTATCATATTTTAAGAGTAAAACTTTGTCTGTTGTTCGAGTAAAAGCGTTGAAGTGACACAATCAGCGAACGGTGAAAATTTTAAACATTATCTGAAAGATAAGAGCTTTGTCTAATAGCTATAACTAGTGGACATAAAACTGCTTGCTTCATTTCGATAGTTTTATACCCGGCTACCAAATATCAGTTCTACAATGGAGATTTTTTTTCTATTTATTTTTTACTTTTCTTTTCTTCTTCTTCTTAAAAAAATGTAGATTTAAAACTATCGGAATATATTTGTAACTAAATAATATAATTACGTATTTAATTTTACATTAAAAATCTCAACTCAAAAGCATTATTTATGTTTCATTCGGTAATGCATAATCTCTAAAAGAAGATTAAATTCAGTTGATTACTCTATTAAAATTCAAAATTTAAATAATGCATTTGAATTATATTCAAAAAATGAAAATAAACGGATAAAAATAATCCTTTTTTTCCTCCTTATTATTAATAAAATATAAATGGCAAAACATAAATTATGCAACATGATTAATTGATGCAATTTTTAGCATCAAGTTACCCTTCTACATTGGATTAATGATTTAGCTTAAACGAGATATATTTTACTCTTAGAGCATCCATCTTGCCTCGGTAATTATTTTCCATAATGTTGGGTCGCAATTTAAAAATAAATAAAATAAACCGAAGAGAAGAGAATTTATGCACTGCATCATCAATTTGGCAGATCAAAAGTCCATGATTTTTCTATCTTTGCGGTTGCATTAGTCGACAGAATAAAACGCTAGGAATTTTATCATTATTTTTGGGGAATAAATGATGTTTGGAAGATTGCAAATGTTTAATTACGTCGAAAACCTGATACTGCTTTGTACAAGATAAATGATGATCGTAATAGGGAGATGCTGTATAAAGTCGGAAGTGCCGACAAAGGGATTTTAGAGTGCCTTAAGCACCACTCAAAATGTTCTCTATCTCACGTTTAAATGTTAACAGATTGTACTCTTCTAGCGAGATTTTCCTCTAGATGTTGTTCTCCTTCTGATTTCTTTACAGTTTAAATACGTCGCGCTAACTAAATTCTATCAAATGAAATCCCGAATTGAATGTTTCTATTGAAAACAATTAAACTAAGTTACTCTATCAATTACAATTCCTTTGAATTCTTTGAAGTTTTATCTTGTATACTTTATCTTCTAAAATTATAAAAACTAACCAACAATACTTTAATTTAATTACTCTTTTGGGAAATTTATTTTAGAGTTATTACTTTATTTATGAGTGAATAAATCTATTATTTATAATTTATACAAGATAATTATTGTATATTAAAGGAAATTTCATAAAAATAAAACTATGCAATTGCTTAAATAATTTAAAGTGTTTGATTTCGTTCTAAGCTTCTACCAGACGGATGTTGATAATTTTCTTATCTCGAATAATTTTTTATCTTTAGGAGGTCCCACATGGCATTTAATAATAGAAAAACTACAAATATCAATAGAATTGCTACACCTCTAGAGAGAATAAATACTTAATTACATAAAAAACATTATTGATGAGAATTCTAATTAATATCCAGCGAGGAGATAAAAAAAGAAGTTAGTGATAATGATATATTTGAAAAAATATATAGAGAGAAATAAGAGGAAATTTTCAAGCGTACCATTAAGTATATTAAACAAATGAAATCCAATATGATTAATGGTTGTTATATTCGTAATCAAGAAGAAAAGCGTAAACCAGCCACACCCCGTACGAAAACGGCTCTTTCCCAAGATAAAATTCAACAGTATTGCACCATCAATTATGGAGTCTGAGAAGAGACCACATTTAAATGATAATAGGCTTTACCAATGTCTGTTGCAATCAGGACCTGTTATAGATTTGGCATATTAAGTTGAAATAATGTATTCACGTACACACTTTCCCTGGAGGTCAATGCGATCTCACTAATTGACAGACCCCTCCTTCTCTTCGGTTCCATTGTGGCCCGCAGGTCCCAAAAGACAGAAATGACGACAGATGATATGTTGCCTTTGCTTCAAACCCGTTCAGGTCACGTCGAGCCGTTCTTTACCATTCCAAACCTGAGTAAACAACACCTTAGTTAGAGATGAAACTGCCAAGTTGATCCTCTGGGACGAAACTGGTAAATGAGGGAAAGTTTGTTCGAATTGCTAAGTTAATTGACTGTAACTTTTACTGTACACTTTATTTCTGAGATTTATAATTATTACTGTATCCTTAATATAAATTATAAATTTACATCTTCAGGCGCTGCTTTGTTTTAATAACGAAGAAATTGATTATTTCAAATTTATTCATATATAATAATTCTATAACGAAATTGGAATTAAATTCTCTTCGAGAATTACAGTATTATGTTTTAAAAAATATTTATTTTATTTTAAATTAACTTTAAAATGGGAAGTTACATTAATTAAAGTTTTACACATCAATCTTGTACGTTAAAGTAATATAATGACTTAATAATAATGTTATAGCCTATATGTATATTTCTTATATAAAAACTTACTCTTGAAACTTTAATTTGTTAAAATTCTTCTTTAAAATTTGATGGTATTTAGATTTTAGAAGAAACTTTACGAATCTTATAAAAGATTTTTGAGAATATTGTCATCAGTATTATTCCATTGGGGACTAAATATGACATAAATCTGCACTTTTCTATCTCTTTTCAGTATAACCGCTAATGTTATTTTATATAAACTGGTTTCAATCTTTTGTGAAAAACAAAATAGTGGAAACATCTTGATTTGAAAGTATGAAAACGTACATTATAATATTTGAAAGTTTTCGGAGATTATACAGATTAAATTCGAAAGCTTCATTCGAAGCAATTTATCCCTTTAGGAAATCCTCCATTTCTTCCTTTTTCACATTTCCATATTCCAATTCTCGATGCTTTTAAAGTTATAGTATATAGATACGTATGTAGCATATGTCGATATTTATCAGCACTAATACTATTGACTACATCTAACCGTCGATTTTGCAGATCCACCAGAGAATATCCAGATATCCGTCATCCAGTTGCAGATTATGGAAGGAGAAGTGCCAGATGATTTAGTCTGTTCTGCTTCTGCACATCCTCTGGGTGATTACATTTGGAAAAATGGAGATACTACTATATCGCATGGGCCCATTCTCTCTTTCAATTCTTCTATATCTAGAGATATGGGTGGCAATTATACCTGCATCGTTAGAAACCGTCACGGACTAGCGAAGGCAGATGCTATTTTAACCGTCCTTCGTAAGTATCTCTATAAACCACCCTTAAATAGATCACATTTCTTTCATTCCTATAGTTTTAATTACTTGATAAGATATCCTAAAATGTAACTAATTATACTTTCTAACATTTTATACAGTTTATTAACACGATGATATCGAAAAACTATGAATATCTACTTAGCAAATCTTATATTAATTATATTAGTTCTCATCAAAACTTAGTTATTTTATCTTTAGAGTAAGGCATTCTTTCTGATACTGATAAACTATAATAATCAAGCTCTGCCGATGAAAACTTATTCGAGTTTTGGTTAATTAAATAAGTTAGAGCGATGCTATCGACCTTGTTTAAGTTAAGTATATGACCCATCACGTATATGTGGGTAATAAATTATCTGTAGAGAATTTAATGAAACTCTTCTCACTCAGGTATATTTACAGTAAGCGGGAAATTTTAACACGAACAGCTCATGTTGAACAAATGTCTCTTTATCCATTCTCATTATTATACAGTAAACTTTTAGCTATTTTAACGTAGAGAAACAACTATAATCTTCCTATTATAGACAGATGATGTTTTAATTAAAATAAAATCAATAAGAATTCTGCCAAGCATTGCATTTGTAATGTTGTTTGTAATTCGTGTAAAGAATGTTATAATTAATATTATCGTTATACATATCTTTCTTTTCCAGTGATTAATATCAAAATTAGCCTTTGGGAATCAATCCAATGATAATTTTTTCAGCTTCTTTTTTCCTAATTCATTTTTTCCCCTTGCTTTCATTTGCTAAAGTAGATTAACAGATTACATCACAGTCGAAAACGAAACGGTAATTTAATGTTTGCCATGATGTAGCTAAGAAAAAAATTAATATTAATAATTTTCAGTTCATTTTTTATGCGGTCGAGTGAACATCTAACAAATTGATAAAATTAAAAGAAATTTTCTTATATAATTTATTTACATCCAATTGAAAAAATTAGGTTATCTCATCAATATAATTTTAAATTAATCTTTAAAAAAATATATGATTAAATTAAAAGAAATAGATTTTAATTATTTTTTTTCTTCGATTTATTTACAGATCGACCCGATTGTATGCTGCACAAAGATTTTGGAAACGATGGTACTGTGCTGTTAACATGTATAGCTTATGCTAGCCCACCGGTTCTCAATTTTACTTGGTATCGAAATAATGTAACGATATACGGGCAGACGGTAGATAAAGTAGAGGTAGAGAGTTTAGTGAGATATTCTGCAGAAAGTTCAGAAGAATCTGGAAGATATTCTTGTGTTGCTACCAACGAGATAGGAGCATCAGAACCGTGCTACTTAGACGTGTCTCCCATTCCTTGTAAGTGCCATTCTCTATATGCCTATAAAAACAGTCACTTTCTTGTTTTCTATCCCTTTCTCTCTTCAACTCTGAGCTTCAATATTTTTTTATTCTTCTAACCTGTCACTTCTGTCAGAATAGCAATAGATCAGAATCCTTAAGGGTATACAAAATTTTTGCTTATCATGTCTTCTTCTATTTATCTGTTTATTCGGCAGCTTAAATGTTCTGACGTGCAGACAAGAAATTTTGGTATGTTTCCAATCTCAAAAGTGCGTTTTTATTTTATTTATTTTTGTTTCTTAAACTTTGTGTGATTTATGGATTTTTCGACTTATCGAATTTACAAATTTTTTTTTATCACTAACGAATTTTAAATTAGTTATGACACTTTCTTTTTTAATGAATAATTTGTTTAGTAGTAAAAGTGCTCATTCTTGCGTGATAAATATACCTGTTTGAAACTTTTTGATTTTTATAGTTTGCATTTCACTGCCAAATTCTTTTCTTACTTCTTCCTGACTGGTTTACAATACATAAAAATACTAAAAGTACTTTAAAATAATTTTCAGTTGGTAAATTTTGTAGCATGTAATGGGCAAAAGTAAATTTGCCTATAATGTCGAGTCAGATCTTCAATGGGATGAGGTATGAATTAGAAAACTGCTTCTACCATAGAATTGACTTGTAAAAACTTGTAAAAATCTAAATAGGATTCGAATCCGGATCCATAAAGAATTCTAAACCAAAAATTCAAGAAAATAAGACAAATATTTAACAACATTTCACTTTATTTTTCAAATTTCAAGAATTTTACACGCATATAAAAATATGTACAGCATTACAATTAAATGAAAATGTTTACATGCTATTTATAATTAAATTTCAAAACGAGATATTTCTTATCTATATTTCTCAAAATCTAGATAGAGAATATTATTGTTTCCATTTGTAAAAAAAGAAAAGGTATAAAGTTGATAATCGATCTTATTGCGAAATTCTCTTTTATCTCTAGCACCTTCCGGCTGGGTGCAACTTCTCCTTCAAGAAGAGAACTTGCTAATTGTGGCAGGCATCGCTGGAGGTATCGGTTTACTTCTTGTCGTCGTTCTTATCATTGTCGTAATCATCGTCATAAAGAGAAGAGTTAGAGGTGAGTAGCGTAAAAGCCAAATGTATTGCACAATTGTAAGGATTTTCTATCTGTGGTAGATTTTCTTGAATTCAAGTGACTATAACTTTTCCCTGCGGTTTTTATGGATCGTTTATGTCGAAAATTTTCTGTTCCGGGATCTGACGCGTCCGCAGAGATTCGGTATCGATTGTCGACTGACACCTTGTACTCTACTCTTTCTCTTTTCTATAGCCAGCGATAAGGAGGACATGGAAGAAAGACAAAAGTAAGTTTTTATTGCAATCATTCTTCTTCAAATGCTTTACTACGGACTAAATGCGTACCTTTATATACATATAAACATATTGAGCTTAATAAATTTCCATCAAAATGACGATCTGAATCGAAGGATTGCTTTATAAAATATTACAGTTAAGAAAATTACTGATATTTTTTAAATAATTAACTTAATTTTTGATATAATAAGCGCATTTAGAAAAATCTCGTATAAGTTAGATTAATAACGTTATGTATTTAAAACGTTATATAGATTATTTTTATTATTATATTTTTTAATATCAAAAATTTATAAGAAAGTAAAGTTAATTAGAGGAAACATTCTCGAGAAAATTTTTATATGTAGAAAGGACATAAAAATGTTAATCAGTCAAATCATTATGCGAGTATAAACTTCAAATTAATTCTTTGAAAAACTAATCTTGCAAGCTATTTGCATAAGTACATTGCATTAAACGTACGAGAAATCTAAAGTTTGTCTAAAGATAGCAACATAAAGCTTACGTGTACTATTTTATAGATGAAACTTGCGTGATATCCTACCTATAAATGAGGAATTTAAAGAAGAGCTCGATTGTTATCTTGCTTTTTATGTAATCTAGATCTCTTCTTTAATATTACTGACATTTACTCCTCATATTCTGATATAAATATGTCAATAATGAAGATGATTCTAAGAGGGAGACTCGAGGGAGAGAATTATAAAAACGTTTAAAGCAATTTAATGCAAAAAAATTCGCATTTTTTTAAAAAAAATATACGCAAATTTTATATTCCTATATAATAAAAAACGTGTTTCGAATTTCTTAATGTGAAACTTTCTCGTGCTAATGAGTTGCAAACGTTATTACAAGAAAAAGTTTGATATATATTTTTATTATGTATTTAAAAAAAGAAAAGAAAGACAACTGATGTAAGATCAAACATATTTAAACTTCAAACAACTAAATTATGAAATTAGGAATTTTTAGTACTCGTATATTACCATCTGCATGGATTCAGATGGAAAAAATGAATTAGATGTCAACTTTGTAATGAATAACATCAATAAAGTCGTGAAGAAAAATGCTGGAATAGCTTTCGGCGCGAAACTTTTAGATCTGATCTATGAGGGCTAGTGCATAAAATAATCAAATGAGAAAAGGTCATTACTCAGATAGAAATAAGCATATAATATTTTGGACAGAGTTATATATGGCCTCCCCTTCGTACTGCAGCATTATCAGAGCGATTGTATTTTATAAGAGGATCTTTTAAATCGTTTCGATTTTTAACAAGTGAATGTATTACACTAATCCACTCAGTATTGTAAGGATTCGACGTACTGTCTCCTAGAAATGGGACTCATAATTCAGACGACAGCACTAAATCAAGAGTCGCCGTTAGTCCGACCAGATATCTGGATGCTTTATTTTCTGCAACGACCTCATTACGTTGCTTTCCTCCCCTTCTCTTTCATTGCCTCAACTCTATCTCACTGGGACACACTCGGAATATCTGTGAAGCAGACGTTTTCCCAACTTTTATTTGATCTCTTATCTTATTTCTCGTACTTAGTCTCCGCTTATAATTACAGTTATCATTTTTTCAAACATCCTTTCTAGTTATGGTCACGTTGGACTGTTGCATGCCACTATTTCTTTTTAAGTTATTATTAAAAAAAAAACATTATTTTTTCGAAGCATTACAAAAAATTTAGAAAACAATGCGCATTTTTAAAGTAATTCAAAAGAAAATATTTAATATTTTTGAATCTTTTGCTGGAAATTCTTCTAATTAATTAATTTTACAGGAAATTATAATTTAAACATATACAATAATATTAAAATGCGTTTAATAATGATTAATTAGTATTAAACAGAGTTTAAAATAGAGATGTCTTAAATATATTCTACGAGTCATTGTAGTTTATTAATTTCGGAATAAATGAAATAAAAAAANAAATTTTTAATTATAATGTTTAAAACTATTATGGGTTACGAGATGAAATTTTCGTTAAAAATTAATTTCTAAGAATTGCTTTTAAAACAATAAAGAGATTTAATAATCACTCCAGGAGACTTTTTCCAGCATATTAAGAAAGTAATGGAAAAATTGTCAATAAACTGCCAAAATGATAAAGATATGCAAAAGTAATTTAATGACATCTTTAAACCCCGGGCATAAAGTTTTATCATTGCAGTTCATATTTTATAGAAGGAGAAAAATATCATTTAGCGAGATAGTCGTTTAGAAATAAATGACTAAAGAACCTATTTAGATACAAAAAACTTAAGTGTGTATAGCGACGTATTACCTAAGTGGAAATTTAATTTGAATTTTTCATATTTTGAATACAGGAATTATTATATAATCATACATTTTTTTAAAATACTATTTATTCAGTCTGGCTTTGCATTAAATCTTCTAAAAGTGTACATCGATCACTCGTCGTTGTCCAACTGGAGTGCCGTTACTTCTTTGTAAATAATACAGTACGTGAAAATGTCAAACTTACTGAGTGTCTATTATTTCATTATATTTTAAAATAATTTATTAAAATCACGACGCGAACTAATGTTTTTATTTGTTAAACAAAAACACACACAAAAAATATTTGCATCACGTTTGTTAAATGTAGCAAAACAAAACCCAGAAGCGACTTGGGTTAATGAAAAATTAAGGAAACCAAAACAGCACAGATGCTATTATAGGAATAATCGATAGTAATGCGATTAGGACCATCTTTTAATAAGTCATAACCCTGGCAAGACACAAGAGAATAGATATATAATGTTGTTGGAGACAATCCGTGCCAAAATGGAATGATTCCTTTTGTTTGCAGTCCCGAAGGGCAAGACCGTGAGGCAGACGTTACACCCATGGGAACTTCTCCTCTGCTGTCAGGCCTGAGACCAGACGGAAGTCCATTGCTTCGTGCAAACGGCACAGGTTCGTATTCTATCGATTAATACTCGCCAAGTATTACACAGTGACAAATGTTCTCTCATTAATAGAGACAGGAAAAATATACTGCGTCTTCGAACGCAGTACATCATCCGTTAGGGTTATACTGAGGGTTATTCTTCCTTCTCTTTCCTTCCCCAATCCCTTTCAACCTTTTCAAGATGTTGACTGTGAGTACCATGAGCGAAGGATATCCAATTCGGACCGACGTCTGGATGCGGGGAGAAGGGGTAGGAAAGACATTGGATGACACGAGCAAACACGGTGACGAAAGACGGTACCAGCACTCTTTTTGTATGTTAAGGTAAAATCTGGTGAATTATTTAATATTTGATTGAAGACGTAGATTCAGATGGTAGATATTTAATGATAGCTTTCCTCTCTACACCAATACTAAAAGCTATCATTAAACTCTCGTTTCGTATCTTAAAATATTCTTAAAACTTTACCCGCTTTGTAAGGTATGGGTCGAGATCGCGATATCTAACATCAATAAAACCCATCTTACCCAATCAGGTTTAACATTACATACTTTATTATTATTATTATTCACAATTTTATATTATTAATATTTTAATTAATAAAAAAGTAATATCTTTTAACTAAAATTTAATGTAATAGATGATGATTTACGTCAGATATATCTAAATGTCTGTAATTATGTATTTTAAAGATGAGGAATTTATTTGGCAGGGAACAAAATTGGTTCATGGTGACTTCACAGAAGTTCATCCCGAAAAGTGGTCCATCCAAGCTAATGAATAGTGAGTGTACATACCCAACAGTGATTGTCCAAGTAAACTGTCACACAGGGTATAATTTGATTGTAAAATCGCGCCCAGCTAATCACTCTCGAAGAAACGAAACCAAAGACGAAATATCGAATTGTATTCGCGGAAAGTGTCATTGACCTCGTTTCCTACCAAATTGTAAACGAAAGAAATGCCCTTTACAGAAAAAAATTATATATATAAATATATATATATATAAAATCGCGACAGTTTCCTATAAAAGTAGACTAGGAAGTGAACCAATGCTATTTAAATGGAAGATCGAAGGGAAAGCGTGAAAATTGTTATGAGACTGAAATATGAGAAGATAACATCGATCAGTTCCGTTGTTTTTCACCTTCTCCAAGTAGATGACGAACTCTTTTCGGTGGTCGTGTCCCGTGCTCGACTGGAGTTCAGGTGGATGTCGCTTTGTGACAGATCAAACATTATTGTACATAAATAGTGACAGGTTGTCAGTGGTTAGCTAACCTATTGCCGCCCTGCTTCTCAAAGTGCGCTATCTCTTTGCCCCTCCTCGGTGTTTGTGTATCTACAGCTGTTCACTTTGGTATCCAGCATCGGCGCGAAATGGTTGAATACATTTAGAACGAGTTATATTGAAGATATATTGTGAGCTGATCTGTTGAGTAAAATATATATATATTCTTCAGTTGCAAAATTTTCAAAGGAGTAAATAAACAGGCGTTTCATTTCCAGCTTTGTTTGTTTACCTGATGTCATGTTTAATCACATTACATTGACTAATATTTACATTTAATAATTACCTTCAACGCATAATGAGTATACAGTATTTCTTCAACATCTTATTCAATTTTTAAAATTTTTAAAATATATTTTAATTGTTTTTAAACGCAAGAAAAATGCTTAAAGAAGACGAGCTTAATGGCAAATTTAAAAAAAAAATATATATATATTATAATAAAAATATTAATACATTAAAATTTTTAATTATAATGTTTAAAACTATTATGGGTTACGAGATGAAATTTTCGTTAAAAATTAATTTCTAAGAATTGCTTTTAAAACAATAAAGAGATTTAATAATCACTCCAGGAGACTTTTTCCAGCATATTAAGAAAGTAATGGAAAAATTGTCAATAAACTGCCAAAATGATAAAGATATGCAAAAGTAATTTAATGACATCTTTAAACCCCGGGCATAAAGTTTTATCATTGCAGTTCATATTTTATAGAAGGAGAAAAATATCATTTAGCGAGATAGTCGTTTAGAAATAAATGACTAAAGAACCTATTTAGATACAAAAAACTTAAGTGTGTATAGCGACGTATTACCTAAGTGGAAATTTAATTTGAATTTTTCATATTTTGAATACAGGAATTATTATATAATCATACATTTTTTTAAAATACTATTTATTCAGTCTGGCTTTGCATTAAATCTTCTAAAAGTGTACATCGATCACTCGTCGTTGTCCAACTGGAGTGCCGTTACTTCTTTGTAAATAATACAGTACGTGAAAATGTCAAACTTACTGAGTGTCTATTATTTCATTATATTTTAAAATAATAATAATAAAAATATACAAAGTGAACATAGAATTTTTATTTTTTATACATTAAAATAAAGAGTAATTATTACTTTTTTTTAATTCATTTATTTTATATTTTATGTAACGGTATGTGGACAAACGGAAGAATAACATTTAAAAAAAATAGTAGATAGGTTATTTTTTTACTAGTTGGAAATTATATATCAGAACGAATTCGAAATAAAAGTAAAGTATAATTTTCGATAATGTGAGTTTTGTTATATATTAAAAAAGGTGAATTTTCTAAAATAAGAAAAGAAAATATGGGAGAATTTTTTCTTTGCTTTTACAAATGTTACAGAAAGTAGTTCGCACGATAACCTAAAAATCGATGAAATTTATGCGGCTTTTACAAATGTATAATTTTTGTGACAGATTTATTCTTTTAAAAATTGCACGCTGCAAAAACTTCTAATTATAGGTTGAAAGCGTAAAGTTAAGAGTTTTAAATCGATGGAGTGAAAAAGAAATTCAGTAGAAACAACAATGGTCTTGGTCGAATTGGAATCTTTAAATAAATTCGTCTAAGATCATTAAGGAAATTTTTTAACCATCGATAATACATTTATCTTAAATGTGTCTTTTCTTAAATCTCTAGTAATTAGATTGTTATGTAAAATCGGAAAAGACTGACACTTAGACTTGTTGGTGACGGCGCACTTCAAGCATTAATTCCTCCTTGACATTTATAGATTCGGTAGTGTGATTAAGAAGTTAAGTGGAAGATCTAGCGAACTGCGAAAATAGTAACAGTAGGTGAAGTTCGGAGTGTGAAACTCTATTTGACGCCAGACTAAATCAGCAGTGGGATGGAGAAAGTCGGTCTTCTACGACGACGTATTTGTCACGTTTGTCGTTATTGATTAGTTGCAAGTGCTTGTGTTCACTTTACGAAGAGCTGAGCGATTAATGTGGGTCTCGACATATCCTTTCTACTGATTAGAAAACCATCAGGGAATTTGTCATTTCGATGCTGTCAGAAAGGATCTGCTGTTTAAGGCCTTAGTTTAAAGGTGTCAGTCCAATATATAGATTACTTTCGATGGACTATTCTGACGTTTAGGTCAATATTTGTAAGCCTAATGTGATATTAGTAAAAGGAAAATCTCTGGAGTATGAAATAATAGAAAGAGAAAGTTCTTTTCATTACTTGGAACGGTGGAGCATTTTCCGGTTCAAGTGAGAGACGAGCAAAGGTAAATTTTCTGCGGAAAGAAACATTATAGAATATTTCTTTTATTCTTTCGGTAGAAATATTTTTCTTCGCAAAAAAATGAAATAAAGTATCACTGAAACTTTGAAAATTTTCGAAATTCCATAAATTTTTTTAATAATTTTTTTATCATGAAACTGAAGTAACTGTATACGATTAATACATACACACGCATAATCTGCGAATCTAATATTTTATATAAAATCAAAACAATTGTAAGGAAACTTAATAATAATGTCTATCTTAGGATCGGGCATCGATTATCATAGCAGACTCAATCGATGAACTAATCACACTCAATCAGACTGAAAAAGGAACTGATTTAAATGCACAGGGGAGTAAAAATTCGATAGACAGCCCCTCCCAATGCTTTTAATCGGTTTTTTTTTCCTGGCTAGACAATTATAGAGAGAGGGAACATCGATTGCGGTACCGAAAGTGTTAAATTCTTCAACAAAAAATACATTAACATTTAATAACATCGATACTCATCATGTGCAAATCAAAACAATAAAAGACTCTCGCGAACAGGTTATTCGATAGTAAATAAAGCAAAGTCTTCATCGAGATTAAGGTGTGAGATTTAAACCATAACTAATAGTCAATGTTACCACAGGGTGATGTAACTTATCCTCACCTACCATCGATCGGGACATTAGTGAAAACACGGGAAACCAATCTTCCGTCACAGTAATCCTTACAAGGATTTGATGGCACATCGCTAATGTAAGTTCTCGGAAAGATACTTTTTTTTAAATCATGTGACGTGAATTGGAAGAAAAGACATTCTATCCTTCTAATTAATTTTTTAACCCACCTATTGAAGCGGTAAGACAAAGAATTCAATTCCTATGCATGAAATCAGATGGTTGAAGAAAGTTTGATTAACAAACTGTGGTTTGAAAACATATTGCGGCTTCTATTGTAATTGTATCGATAATGCGTTAACAAAATTTCCTATTTACTATTTTAAAATTTTATTTACGTTTAAACATTTAAAAATTTATGTTCCACATACGTTTAGAATTTATATATTAGTAAATTTGTTATAAAAGTAATAAAATTTCTTTCATTTTTATCGCTTTAAATCATGCGTGTAATCAATTGAATTGCCTTTTTAATTTATTTCTTGATGTAAAATTTGAATTATACTATTTTATTTTTATAGAATTTGATGAAAATGGGATGATTCTAAATTTAAAATTAATAACTTTAATGTTTAAATCTCATTACCCTGATATATAATCGACTATAATGCATACGATGTTTACTTAATTTTATAATAAAAATACTTTAAAAATTGCTAGTGTAATATATAAAAAATAAATGTAGCATACATTTTTTACTTTAAAAGATATATTTAAGAGAATAAATAGCAAGGTTTTAATATTTTTAACGGTTTGGTGCATGAATAAAGCTATGTAAAACAAATGCATTCAACGGATCGTTACGAGTTCGGCTCGGATTGGACAAGTCTTTCTGTGGCTTATATTTCTAATCGATCGCAACTCGTCTGACCTCCTGCTTGAACCTATCCGAATGTAGGAGCAGAGGCGCCTGTTAGGTGATTTCTCCATCCCGCACGCTTCCTAGGAATGGCTAATGATAACCGAATTCAAGTCTGCCCGACTCGGTACGTGTTATAAAAGTTTGGGTTATTGACACTAAAGATTCGGAGGAATGATTGATGATGCAACTACTGCGTATATGTCCAGTGATATGTTTGCCACTATCTGCGTAACTTGTCTAGTCCAGCAAATATCAAGCAGCTGTTTGATGTCCGACAAAAGTTCGGACAACGGAATGACGCCAATTGCCAGTAATGCGTCTCAATCCCGAGAAATTGCATGATCTAGTATAACACAAGAAAAATATTCGATTTATGGTATTTTGTATTATGTTCCTAGTTTTTCACAGTCCAACCTTCGTTGTAATGGAATTTTTAATTCTGTTTTAAAATATTTTATAATTAATCTACGTTTCATAAACATTCAAACAGCGCTACCACTACTAGTAAATTATCAAATACCTATATGCAGTTTTATTTTTTATAAATAAACTAAAAATTTATCATGTAGAGAAGGAATGCCGTAATTTTATCTTCCTTTTTTCTATAATACTTCAGTAGTAGGTTTGAGAATTTCAATTAGCAATTCCAGCATCCATTTAAAAAATTTATTACAAAATTCAACAAATTAATTCTTCCTTGTAAAAGAATTGCTCAAATAACAAATTTAATATTTATATTTCTATCAATACAGAATCTATAAAATATTAATAAAAAAAATTAAAATCTTTATTATTCGTTTGTTTACATTTTAAAAATTTATAAGAATATAGAATGGATTTTTTTTACTTTATAAAATTTGACATTATTGAAAGATAAAGGATATTTCTTTTATATAAAAAAAATCTCTACAGAGTAAGTTAAATAAAATGATTTTTTTTTTAAATTTCAAGTAAACTTTGAATAATTCAAATATATAAAATATAAATAAAATATAAATAAAATTTTCAAAATGCAACCTTAAACACAATAAAATGTAATTTAATCTTAAAATATGAAATTATAATGAAATTTCTTTGTAAGTATATTCAAATATTAAAGAATATAATTTGATTTCTTTTTAACAATTAATCAATTACTTATAAAAAAATTTAATTATATTATTTGAAAAATTTTAAAAATATTTTATGATATTATTTATTAAAGTAAATAGATTCTTACAAGCAATTCTATATACAGTACATTTTATTTACAACACTTAAACTAGTGGGAAACGTTTATAAAAATAGATCTTCTCAAGTTACAGTCATTTCGAATTATTTTTATAGAAATTGTGTAATAATAAAAAATTGAAAATCAAGTTTTATCAATACATTAAACTTTGCATGTTTTTTTGTTTGTTTTTTTGTAAATAATG